CCTGTTTTAAATCCGGTTTCCAAAAATACAACCGGTTCCAAACTCTAGTGCAACATGTTAAACAATGTCATAATGTCATATGGTGTACGCACATCATCATGACTGACTCTTCAGTCTCTTCACCGTACAATAATTACATAAAGAGAAAATTAAACAGTGAGCAATAAGTAGTATTATATTCATAAATTATTATATGCCCGCTTTTCAAATTGATTAATATATTTGGTATGATAATTGAAAGTTTCACTAAATTTTTTTGCCCTTATTAATGTGGCCATTACTAAAGTTTTCCAATTGTAATAATTACTAAATAAGAACTGAAAATATATTAGTATATCGCAAATTACTTTTATGAAATATATATAATCCTTATTTTTTCTGTTAATAGAATTGTAAATGTAACCTAAAATCTAATATTTATAGCTGAATAGCTCCAAGAAAATTTTATCATTTGTACCATTCAATATGGCTCACTTGATAATCGAAATGTCGATTTTTTTTGGCTAAAATTAACGTTAATTTTGGCCAAAATGATTGACATTCCGATCATCAAATCCGCCCATATGTTGATAATATTTTGATCTGCATTGTACTGTATGACAAATTTATTGAGTAATAGTATTATGTTACACTTAAAGAAAAATGGCGTAATTATAAATTATGGACACCTCTTTAATTAACGCCGATTATTGTTTTTTTTTAAAAAAAAAAAAACAAAAAAATTTAAACCATGTCATCTCAAGATGATATTATATGTAAAAGCTGTGATAAAATATGTACAAATATTATGTTTAAATGGTGTAGACCATGTGCAATAAATAACTTAAAAAAAAATTTCACGAACTGGACTAGTGGAAATGAAAAGATTGATGATTTTATTCAAAAAATGCAATTAAAAATTGAAAGTTATGATGATATAATTGTTGAATGGATACCTTATGACCAATTTAATAATGTTAAAAAAACAAATAAAAATGGTTTTGCTACAGCAATATGGAAGGATGGTTTATTAGAATATAATGAAGAAGAAATGAAACGTATAAGAATATCTAATATAGAAGTTTCTTTAAAATGCTTGATCAATTCACAAAATGTTATTAATGAATTTTCAAATGAGGTATGAAATTTTTATTTTTTGTAATTTAACCTTTAAAAATAACTTTATTATAACAACTTTTATATTTAAAAGGCCAAAGCATATTCCATTAAATACAGTAAACTACATAAATATAACCTTGATATAATGGATGGTATTCCTAAAATATATGGAATATCCCAAAATCCAGATACAAATGATTATATTGTAGTACTTAATAATAGTTATTGTAAAGAATGTAGTGAAATATATATAGAAATATGGTCAAAATGGTGTAGACCATGTCAAATAAATAATTTAGAATTAAATCATAGTGGAAATAAAAAAATTGATGAATTCATTCAAGAAATGCAATTGAAAATTGAAAAATCTAGTGATATAATTGTTGAATGGATACCTTATAACCAGTTTTATATTATTAAAGAAATAAGCAAAAATAATTTTGCTAGATTATATTTGGCAATATGGAAAGATGGTTCATTAATATATAATTTCAATAAAAAAAAGGGTATTTATGAAAGAAGTTCTAATAAAGAAGTCATTTTAAAATGCTTGAATAATTCACAAAGTGTCATTAATGACTTATTGAATGAGGTATTGAGACTTCTAATTTTTTTGTAATTTAATCCTTAAAAGCACTTTATTACAACAACTTTTATATTAAACAGGTTAAAGCATATCCCATTAAAAGAAGTGAATATAAATATGATATTCCTAAAATATGTGGAATATCCCAAAATCCAAATACAAGTGAATATATTATTGTATTTAAAGATGGTCATTATTGCAAAAACTGTGGTAAAATATATACAAAGATAAGTTTAGAATGGTGTAAACTATGTCATATAAATGGTTTAAGACAAAATTTTGTAAATTGGACTAGTGGGAATGAAAAAATTGACAATTTTATTCAAAAAACGCAATTAAAAATTAACAATTATAATGATACAATTGTTGAATGGATACCATATAACCAGTTTAATAATATTAAAGAAATAGGTAAAGGTGGATTTGCTACAGTCTATTTAGCAATATGGAAAGATGGCCCATTAGATTATCAATTTGATGATAATAAACATATAAGAACACCTAATAGAGAAGTTGCTTTAAAATGCTTACATAATTCACAAAATATAACTAATGAATTTTTAAATGAGGTATGAAATTTATTTTTTTAGACTTCATTAAACACTTCTCAATAATAATTGTTTTTACTTTTTGATAGGTTAATGCATACTCTATTAGTAATAATAATGGAATTCTTAGAATATATGGAATATCCCAAAATCCAGATACAAATAACTATATTATTGTACTTGAATATGCAAATGGTGGAAATCTTGATAATTACAATAATAATATCATTAGGAATCATAATTGGATTAGAAAATTAGATGTATTAAGTAATATTGTTAGAGGTCTTAACATAATTCATGAAAATAAAGTAGTTCATCGTGATTTCCATACAGGAAATATATTGGTATCATTTAGTTATAACAATTCTGATGGCTTTACTGGAGATTCTTCTAGTCATATATATATTTCAGATATGGGATTATGTGGAGAAGTTAGTAATATAGACAAAACAAAAATTTATGGAGTTATGCCATTTGTAGCTCCTGAAGTATTAAGAGGAAAGCCATATAATCAAGCAGCAGATGTATATAGTTTTGGTATGATTATGTATCATATTGCAACTGGAAGACAACCTTTTGCCAATTGTGCTCATGATAGTATTTTAGCATTAAATATATGTAATGGAATTAGACCTGAAATAAATGAACAAGAAGCACCAAAATTTTATATTGATTTAATGAAAAATTGTTGGGATCCAGATCCAGATAAGAGACCAAGTGCTATTGAAATATATGAACTCAATAATTTGTTTCATAGTTCTATTTTTGAAAGTAAAGATAATGAAATTAAAAAGCAAATTAAAAAAGCGGATGAATATAGAAAAGCAAATTTTTTATCTACTGGAAATGGTCAATCAATTCATCCACAAGCTTGTTATACTTCTCGATTACTCAATCAATTTACAAAAGATCTTTCAAAAGATGTTACTGATTGTTTAGACTGTATGATTAATGATTGAACTAAAGCTATTATAAATTACTATTATTACTTATTTATATTGTTTTAATCAGATAGTTAAAATTAAAATTTATAAAAAAAATGTTGATTCGTGTATTATATTTCTGTTTTTTCCATAAATGTACCATTTTTACAGAATTTTTATGAAAGACATGGAAATATTCGGATGAAAATTTTTTATGGGGCTATTGAATGTTGGTATAATAATATTTGATGATATTTAACATATTCATTATTTCATTTTTATTTTTATTTTCTTTTAAAGTGAAGACTTAAAATTCTGTTTATTATATTATCATGTTTTGAAAATAAAAATTAATTATTATTATTACAAAAATTATATTTCCCACCATAATCATCATTATGCTAGTAATATAACGTTATAATTTTTTCATTTATTTGTTATTCTGTATTATTAGTAGTTTAGCCAAATTGCTTTCATTAATATACTTATAAGAAACAGTTTATATGTATGATTTTGGTATAATTATATATTATATCGCAATTAGAAGATAATCTTTTTGCAAATTGCGTTCATAATAATAGTTTTAGCAACTAGTGTACTTTTGGATATAGTGAGTGAGTTTATTTTTAAAGTATACTAATAATACTAATAAATTAATTTTATAACAATAGATTGTGTTTAGTGATATTTATAAAAAAAAATTTCAAGAGATTTTTTTTTTTTAATAAGAATAGTTTGGTATAAAAATTTTCTAGGATTTTTATTTAATAACAATATATATATCAGTATAGTACAATAGGGTTAACCATTCAATAAATAGATATAATAAATTTTTTTTTTGGGGATTCTTTCTTTAATGACACTAGATTGGTATAGTACAATAGATAGGTATAATAAAAATTTTCTAGGATTTTTTTTTTAATTACAATAGATCGGCAATAGACATTATTAACTGAAGTTAATAATTGTTTTTTAGTAAGATTTTTTTTATAGTTCACAGTAACACTAATATTACTAATAAGTAATGATAATAAAAGATTTTTTATAACAATAGATTACATTTAATAAGGTAAGGTTAATAAATAAATTTTCTGAGATTTTTTTTTTTAATAATAGAATGGTATAGTACGCCACTGGTCTATGGAAAGCCGTCCTTGACAAAAGGTTGATATCCAGACATCATGTTGGATAATGTCTAGACATCATGTTTGATATATGTAGAATAATGTTTGTACATCATTCAACATGATGCTCAAGCATCAACCGACATGATGTCTTAGACATGATGTTACCAAATATAGTAAATTTTATTTTGTGTAACTCATAAATATACTATATTTGGTAATTTGATCAGCATGATGTCTAGACATCATGTCGGTTGATGTCTTTCACATCATGTTAAATAATGTACAAACATCATCCTACATATATCAAACATGATGTCTAGACATACCATCATGATGTCTAAATATTATATTTCATGATGTTTGGACATCAACCTTTTGTCAAGGACGGCTTTCCATACTGGTCAAATGATGAGGTATCAGCCAGATTTCATATACCTGATATCTGTACGATATATCATGTATAGTGGTCCGATATGTTAACGATTTATGTCTCACCTATGTTAGGTTACATACAAGTTACATATCGGGTTGTTGCATATCATACTCTCATAATCATATCGGTATCTTGATATTTCAATGATATTTATATTATCAAAATACGATGTTTCATTAATTATATCCTAATATCTCATGTTATATCCCGATATTTTGCTGATTTTTATGTGTATTGTATATTATTATATTTATTTTATTTATTTAAAACTAGATATCTATTTAATATATGCGTTACATTAATATTTTATCTTTCTAAACTATGTTGTTAATGGTTTAGAACATTGTTCCAGTTGGTTCAATTCCAACAAACAACTTCTAATATCTCATCGCGTCTACGTTTCCTATCCAAAAAACCTACAAAAACAAGAAGGCATTATTAGTTTTGTCTAATAGCACCATTATCACACCATTTAATAAAGAACCTATGTATCATGATAAATGTTTCGCCACAAAATTGTTCAAAAGCCTAAAAAAACAAATTAAATAATGGTGTTAGTACTACAATTAACACCATCTCATAATTATCCAAAGAAATTTACTGACCACGTTCAAGAATCATCCAGAAATCTAAAAAAAATAAGAAAAAAGCGTTAACTTTATTAAATTATACGCCATTAACATCCACACAAAGAAACCTACTACGAATTGTCCAAGAATCGTCCAGAAACCTAAAAAAAGAAGAAATAAATAGCATTAGTACGATATTAATACCAATAACGCTCACCCAAAATAACTTACCGCAAAAATTGTCTAGAATCGTCTAGAAACCTAAAGAATAAAAAAAAAGCATTAACAAAGTTTAATAATGCCGCTATTAATACCCACCCAAAGAAACTTACTGTGAAGAGTTATTTCAGGAACCTAAAAACAAAAAAAAGGCATTAATTTAGTTTAATAACGCCATTAACACACCCAAAAGACCTACCGTGAAGAGAATCTGCTAAAAGAATTCATTCCTGTTGTTCCCGTAATACCACAACGGAATGCATGTATGAATTTCGTTTCTAAAAGCAAAAAATATAAGTAAATAACGGAAAAATATGTTTTGTAATATATTTTGTAATTTCCGTTTTTACCTTCCAAGCTCTGACTTTTAACTTAAAAATAAAAATTAGTTTTTTTTTTTTTGAAAAAAAAAAAATAGATTGTCGGATCATCAGTAAATCAGTTTAACTGAAACCGCAGTTACCAATAATCCAATAACTGTGACCCAGCCATTTCATAGTCCAGTATGCCGAAAGTCAAAACCCCATATTGCCGAAATGAGATGCTGAAACCTTTCAACATAGTTTCAGTAGTCGATTTGTAATTTCGTCCAGCGTTCCCTATAAAAGAAAGAAACATTAGTCATGTTTCTAAAAATCAAAAGAAAAAACGTTAAAAAAAAGATAAAACTACCCTCCCATTTACCTTTCGCCCAAAGTCCGGTTCCTGGCGTTCTTACAAAAGAAGAAAGAAATGTTGGTACGTTTCTTTAACACAATTGAACGCCATATTCTCCCCTATATATTTAAGTCCAAAAGTAGCCTTTTCTTTATCACTCTGCTCTAATTTTGCAAGTCTGGCCTCATTCTTTTCCATAGCCTGTCTTAACTTAGCATTTTCAGCTTTAACCTTGGCATTTTCAGCCTTAATCTCGTCATTATCAGTCAGGAGCTTGATGACGTATAGTTCAGATTGCATATTCAATAACGCCTTTCATATAGAACATGATTTATTTAAAATGCATTTTACCTAAGTAGTCTAACTTTTTTTATTTTCCATATCCCACGAAAATATACTTGATACAGTGTTTTCGGCTTGAATTCTTTATTGATGTAGTAAATAAATTACATGATTCTGCTTGTAACCGTGATACATAAATTTACGAGCGAAATGGTGTTTCTACAGTTAATACTTGCGGTTCACCTAAACTATTCACACTAACATATTATCCCAACAATAATTTCATGATCTTTCATTTATCCTATTACTCGATGTTCTAGATAGAATAAAGTATAAAACGGTCAATAGTTATTACATACTCGATATATGCAGTGTCGGAAAATAAATCAACAGTTAATAACACTAACCTTATAAGTCCCGTTAAATTTTATGTTGTTTGATGTTAGTAAGGTCCACGAAGAAAAATATTTATTAATTTGTAGACTCTGAGATCGTTCTTCTTGTAAAAGCATAGCCACAGCTGAAATATTCATACATTAATTGCGTATTATCGCATCCAGGCTTCGTGACGGCTTGGTACTTGGTAGTTGTATATATGAATCTTAACATAGTTAACCGCTGCGCTTAAATATTCCTGACAAAGCTACAATGTTAATTTATCTTGATTAAAAAAAAACAAATATTTTCTTCTCAAGTTGACCATCGGGTTGTGGATTAAAACTGGTATATAAAACTCAAGAATCTATAACCATAATAACCATAAATAAGTTTTTCTTAATAACCATTTTTAGAAAAATGCGTTAAAGATGTATTTACCAGGTTCTTCCAAATTCCTAAGAGTCCGATAACCTAAAAAATGAAAAAAAGAAACGTTAGTACGTTTCATTAACACAATTAGACACCATACCCTCCCCCATATATTACCGGGTTCTTCCAAGTTTCTAGGAGTCCGGTAACCTAAAAGAAACAAAAAAAAAATTTATTTTTTTTTAATTAAATGAAAAAAAGCGTGTTTGTAGATTATCAACGACCAGTTAAAAAACTGATCAGGGCTTAACTGAATAAAGAAATGCCAAAATTGTGCAGTTTCAGCTTGCCGAAATCTAGTTGCCCATCCTTATTTTTAATATTATTTAAATATTTTGGGTCAAAAGGAACTACACTAGAGTGTATTTCCTTCAAAAATATTATCTAATTATTCCAATTTTATTAAATGTATTAATACTAAGAAACATATGTTCTATTATTGTAAATTGGATTGAAACTAACAAACGTTTACATCCTCTCAGGATGATCAACCGCAGCAGATCGCGTTTTCTTTTTTCTTAAACTGTATCTTTTTTTTCGGTCTAATATTTTTTTTTGATCCTTTTTTTTTGACCGGATCTTTCTCTTTATAATAATCTATGCTATTACTGTATTTTTTTATATATGTATATTATCGTTATTATTTATTTCATCTTTAGGCTTAGATCTGTGATCAGTGATCGGATCAATCAGATTGATGATGTAAGCGTGATTTTTTACTTTTAATGATTTTTTTCTTATTTTTTTCATTTTTTCACCTCTTAGGTTTGGAATCGGCGATATAATCAAAATAGAATATTTTTTTATTGAATAAATATGATTTGTAAGTATTTTTTTTTACCTAAAAATGAAAAAAAACATGTTAATATTAGTTTATCTACATATAAAACAAAAATTTTATTGTTATATTGATTTAAATTCATTTAATCCTGTTGCAACGCAACAAACTACAGCTAGTTATAAAATAAATTTATTATTTATTCTATTTATTCTAATTTAATTATTTAAACATTTTAATTTATAGAATTAATCATTTAACATTTTTAATTTTATTTAATTATGTGAGTTTATAATTATTTAAAAATCAAGCTGCAGTAACAGAAAAAACATATAAGATAATCACGAACAAACTCATCTCTTAAGTTTTATCATAATAATATTGTTAATCAAAGATGTACGGTTCTGGACTGGTCCTGAATGAAAAACCAGTCTATTTGAAACCAGTCCATTTGCATTTATATATTTGTCATGAACAAAAAAAAATCTCAAATAAATAAATAATTTGTTTTAGAAAAGCAAGTTTTAAAGCAACTTTAATCAATCAGTTGTAATAATTTTACAAATATTACAAATATCTTATAACTTATCAATATTCCATATATAGTCATCATTATCATCAAAGTCAATAACTAAATCACTATATCTTCGGACTATAATATTATGTAACTTGAATTCCCTCACTTCATCTTTCAAATCAAACAATTCTCCATTTTTAATATTCTTAATAGCCAAATACTTGACTCTTTTTTCCTTCATAATATATTTCTTTATGTAATTTAAAATATCATCACTACCACTTTTTAGTTTTATTAACAATTTATTAATAAAAATATACTGAGAATTTTCTAAGAATACTCTAAAATCACTTTCTTTAATAGTAAAATCTAAACTTATGTAATCTAATTTAGAAGGGAGAATTTTCCCTAGATTTTTTAATATGATTGAACTACAAGTTGAACAGGGTTCAACTGGACATATTTTGATTATAAGATAATTGAGACTTTGTTTAATATTTTTAATTAAATTGATTTTTTGATAAGTAGAAATCTCACTTTCAAATTCAACAAAATAAAGAAAATTGCGGTTATGCCTTACAGTGTCCGGTCTGATGATCTTTCTGAGTCCAGTCATGTCAATTTTTAGTACAGTCATGTGGATTTGGGTCCGGACCCTCGGACCATGCGGTCCGATGATCCGCTTAAAATCACTTGAGTCCGATTAATTGGAAAGCTTTGATCTACACTGGATTTTTTTTTGCCATTCGCTTCATAATGAGTCATTAAAAAAAAATATTTTTAATTTAATGAGATATTACTATTATGCCATAATGAATAATTATAATGTCATTAATATTATATAATTAATAATTTTAATTAATAATTTCAAATTTGTAAGCCTTCCAAATGAAATATTTCTTTCAATTTTTCATGTATTTAATTTTATAAAGAAAAACATGGATGTAATTAACATTACTGAAAATAATAAAAATAATATTACATTTAGTTCACTAATAGAAATACCAAATGTTAGTTATAAAATTTTCGTGTCAATATTAATATTAATGTTATATTTTATAATAATATTAAATACTATTATAATTGTAATTATTAAATTCAAGAAATGTAGATCAGATCAGTCGTGTAAATTTAGTTCAGTCCGATTGATCAACATCACAGGACTCGGCACAATTAACTCAGTCCGATGGTAGTGAAGTCCGATCAAAGTTTAAATTCAATCCGCATCAAAATTCACATGACTGTGCTAAAAACTGACATGACTGGACTCAGAAAGATCATCGGACCGGACTCAGTAAGGATATACTCAGAAAATTGATATTGTTACAATATTTTAATAATTGTGATATATCATGATTAGTACAATAAATTGTACTACACCCGAAATTTTTTAAATAATCACCAGATTTTAGTAATAATTGTTGCAATGATTCAATTTGTGTTACCTCATTTAAAATTAAAGATTTTAATTTAAATGGTTTAGTCAAATTAATAATTTGTTGAGTAAAATAATTATTTAAAGAACAATTAATGATATGAATGGATTCTAAAACATTTAATCGTTCAAATACTTTATCAAGATTGATTACTACACTAAAATCGACGTCATAGAAAATGATAATATTTAAGGTATTTGACCAATAATAATCTTTTGATAATAATAATTGACATAAAGATAAAAAATTTCCATATATTAAAATTTTCTTAAGATTTTGATGTAAATGAATTATTTGTGATATATGGTTATTAATTATCGTATTGTCGTTATCACCTCTGATATAATTAACTTTCAAATTTCCAATATTGTGAATAAAATTTTGATTTTGCAAAATTAACTCAAGAATTTCATTAAGTTCTCTGTAATAAATAATTGCGGCCTTAATTTCAAGAGTATGTAAATTTACTTCATTTTTAATAAAAATTTTAAATAGTGACATAGTAATAAATCTCTCAAAATTTTGTTCAGAAACACCTGTTCTAATTCCGAATTTTGAATTCCTAGCAGAATCAAACCACTTAGCAACAGAAATGAATAACTCAAATGTATTCAAATATTTTAAAAAACAATTGAACGTATTATTAATAATTTTATATTCATGATTTAAGTAAATTTCAATAAAATCATATTTTCCGGTATGAAATGAAAATGGATTTTCCCATAATAATGGAATTACTAAACGACACAATAATCTGTTAACAAAAATGCATGAATGTAAAGTTGAAAAATCATTCTGAAAATATTTTATAATTTCGTAAGTTAATTCAGCAGGTAAATCTCCTAAAAATAATTTTGAACACGACATGTTGTAATTTAAGGGAGCATGTCATGAGAGTTAAACGAGTTGGGTAAATTATATATGATTCTGATGTCGCACAACTCATATAATTCATTCTTGATTAATATGCTACTCCTAATTATCTAAGCATATTAAACATTTAACTAAAATTATAGTTTTATCAAAATTTACTTACGCTACTTATTTTTTGCTCTGTATGTATGTCTGTAAATATTTTAAAGTTTTATTTATTGTGTTAAACTGGGTAAATTATGGAACAATGATTCCAATTTATACAATTCATTCTGACTAATTGTGTGTAACATGTTTCAATAATTAAGTACAGATTTAATTAAGCTATGGAACGAAAATCATTGTTGTTTAAGAATTATGTATAGTGAAACAATTGAAACATGTATAAATTTTGTAAGTTTAATAATTTTTGTGTAGCATAATTTTGTTTTGTTTTGTTGCACTATGTTATAGTGCTAAATTTATTAATTTATAATTATTTAAAACTGAAATTAAACCCCAAAAGTTAAAATATTTTTGCTTGAAGGTCAAAAGTCAAATTAAAAGTTCAAAATGGCCGAATTAACATTATATCATATAATGATTAAACAATATAAACTTTGAAATTTAATAGCTTCGTCATTATCGATCCGATTGCAATTATTTTACAACCATTCGAATTAATGAAACTTGATTTTTCGGTTCTCATAACATAACAATTTTGAAAATGATCCGGCAACCCGGTTTTTAATTTTTTATTTTAACTTTTAAAAAGATCTCACCCGGTATAATAGTAATAATAAATTTTTTTACAAAAAACTGACCCGGCCGGGATACGAGAACCGAAAAACTAAGTTTGTATGGCCTAATATTGTGATTTCAAACTATATTTTTTTTCGAAATTTGAATTCAGAAAAGAATATAATACAATAAATAAAATAAAAATGTATTGAATTTACATCTAAAATACAAATAATATAAAATACAATATATTTATAAAGTCTGTAAAACTTAAATAAGTAATATAAAGTTTATAATATACACAAGTATAATGTCCTTCTTAGAGGTTGGAACCGACCAAAAAAACCTTAATCGATTAATAATCGATTAATATTAAAATATTAAAAATTTTTTTTTTTTTTGACCGCAGATTGCACCAAATTGTTTTTGATCATACATTTAG